TGAAGGGTATTATGTCTGGTGCGAAGAATCCCATGGCTGCGGAGCAGAGACGCACTTTGGTCAAGCAGTTCTTCAAGGATCTCGTTGGCATCAAAAAATGCAGCAGCTGCAGCGGGTATGTTATGTCGTTATCACTCTACCCTTGCTATTTATCGTTTGCTGACGATGTGCAAAAGAATCTCACCCAGTTACCGGAGAGATCGTTTCTCGAAGATTTTCCGAAAGCCTCTGCCCGAGAAGTCCAGATTAGCCATGGTACAGGCTGGATTCCAAGCGCCGAACTCCCTTATTCTTCTCCAGCAGGCCAAGAAGTTCGATATGAAGACAAAAGAGTCGATGGCCAATGGCATTTCTGATACGGCTAGTGCATTTTCTGAATCACATGGCGCTGAGGAAGAAGTTGCTCGCGGCAATGCCGTCGTTGCACAAGCCGAAAGCAAGAAGTCAGCAGCTGGCGATGCTGGACAATATATGCCTTCGCCAGAAGTGCACGCTGCCATGGTACTGCTCTTCGAGAAGGAGAAAGAGATTCTGAGCCTTATATACAACTCTCGGCCGCTTCCAAAAAAGGAAGCTAAAGTCAGCCCGGACATGTTCTTCATCAAGAACATCCTGGTACCACCGAATAAATATCGACCAGCTGCCCCTCAAGGACCCGGTGAGATTATGGAAGCACAACAAAACACCCCGTTCACCCACATTCTGAAGAACTGTGACATTATCAATCAGATCAGCAAGGAAAGACAGAATGCTGGTGCCGATTCAGTCACTCGAATGCGTGATTATCGCGACCTCCTTCATGCTATCGTACAGCTCCAAGATACCGTTAACGGGTTGATTGACAAGGAGAGAGGCGCATCGGGCCCGGCAGCAGGCCAGGCCGCTAACGGTATCAAGCAGATTTTGGAAAAGAAGGAGGGTCTGTTCAGAAAGAACATGATGGGCAAACGTGTCAATTTTGCTGCTCGAAGTGTCATTTCTCCCGACCCCAATATTGAAACGAACGAGATTGGTGTTCCACTGGTCTTCGCGAAAAAGCTCACTTATCCAGAGCCTGTGACGAACCACAACTTCTGGGAAATGAAGCAGGCAGTCATCAATGGTCCAGACAAATATCCGGGTGCCACTGCGATTGAGAACGAATTGGGCCAAGTGACCAACCTCAAATTCAAGAGTCTTGATGAGCGAACAGCTTTGGCCAATCAGTTGCTGGCACCGTCGAATTGGCGCATGAAGGGAGCACGTAACAAGAAGGTCTACCGTCACCTTACCACTGGTGATGTCGTCCTCATGAACCGGCAGCCTACGCTTCACAAGCCGTCCATCATGGGTCATAAGGCTCGTGTGCTGGCAAATGAGAGAGTCATTCGCATGCACTACGCTAATTGTAACACCTACAATGCCGACTTCGATGGTGACGAAATGAATATGCATTTCCCTCAGAACGAACTTGCTCGAGCTGAAGCTATGATGCTTGCAGACGCCGACCACCAGTATCTTGTGGCGACATCTGGCAAGCCTTTGAGAGGTTTGATTCAAGATCACATCTCGATGGGAACGTGGTTCACATGTCGAGACGCATTTTTCGACGAGGAGGATTATCATGAGCTGCTCTACAGCTGTCTCAGACCTGAGAACTCTCATACTATCACAGAACGGATTCAGCTTGTGGAGCCTACTCTGTTGAAACCAAAGCGTCTCTGGACTGGAAAGCAAGTGATTACGACTATCCTCAGAAATATCATGCCTCCGGGAAGAGCGGGTCTCAACCTGAAGAGCAAGTCTTCCACTCCTGGAGACCGATGGGGCGAGGGCAACGAGGAGGGCACTGTAATCTTCAAAGACGGCGAGATGCTGTGTGGTATTCTCGATAAGAAGCAAATCGGCCCTACGGCTGGCGGTCTTATCGATGCCATCCATGAGGTCTACGGCCACACCATTGCCGGGCGGCTGATCAGTATTCTCGGACGGCTCTTGACAAGATATCTGAACATGCGTGCATTCACTTGCGGTATCGATGATCTTCGATTGACCAAGGAAGGTGATCGTCTCCGTAAAGAGAAGCTTAGTCAAGCTGCCAGCATCGGTCGGGAGGTCGCTCTCAAGTACGTGACTCTCGACCAAACCACAGTTCCTGATCAAGATGCCGAACTGCGCCGAAGACTGGAAGACGTTCTTCGGGACGATGATAAGCAAAGTGGTTTGGACAGTGTCTCGAACGCTCGGACGGCTAAGCTCTCTACCGAGATCACTCAAGCTTGCCTTCCAAAAGGCTTGGCCAAGCCTTTCCCGTGGAATCAGATGCAGTCTATGACTATCTCTGGAGCTAAGGGTTCAAGTGTCAACGCGAACCTTATTTCTTGCAACCTGGGACAGCAGGTTTTGGAAGGTCGACGTGTACCTGTTATGATCAGTGGCAAAACCTTGCCATCCTTCAGGGCCTTTGATACTCACCCTATGGCGGGCGGTTATGTTTGCGGCCGTTTCTTGACTGGCATCAAGCCTCAGGAGTACTACTTCCATGCTATGGCGGGTCGAGAAGGTCTTATCGATACTGCCGTCAAAACCTCTAGATCTGGTTATCTGCAGCGTTGTCTGATCAAGGGTATGGAAGGTCTGAGAGCCGAGTACGATACATCTGTCCGCGAGTCTTCCGACGGTTCCATCGTTCAATTTTTGTACGGAGAGGATGGACTTGATATCACAAAACAAGTGCACCTCAAGGACTTCGATTTCCTGACTTCCAATTATGTCTCTATCATGCAGTCTGTCAACCTTACAAACGACTTCCATAACCTGGAGAAGGATGAGGTGACAGCCTGGCACAAGGATGCCATGAAGAAGGTCCGCAAGACAGGAAAAGTCGACGCTATGGACCCGGTGCTGTCTGTCTACCACCCTGGAGGTAACCTGGGTAGTACATCCGAAGCATTCTCGCAGGCACTCAAGAAGGTATGGGACATCTGCTACCATTCTCATTCCACATATTCGAGACTAACAAAAGCTATAGTACGAGGACGCTAACCCTGACAAACTTCTTCGAGACAAGAAGAAGAACATCGACGGTCTCATCAGTAAGAAGGCGTTCAATACTTTGATGAACATGAAGTATCTCAAGTCTGTTGTCGATCCTGGCGAAGCAGTCGGTATCGTTGCTAGTCAGTCTATTGGAGAGCCGTCAACCCAGATGACCCTGAACACCTTCCACTTGGCTGGTCACTCGGCAAAGAACGTGACGCTGGGTATTCCCCGTCTGCGTGAAATTGTCATGACTGCAAGCGCTCACATCATGACGCCTACGATGACGCTGATCTTGAACGAAGAATTGTCAAAAGAACATTCGGAGAGGTTTGCAAAGGCCATCAGCAAGCTCAGTATTGCGGAGGTGATCGACAAGGTTCAAGTCAAGGAGAGAATTGCCGCAGCCGGTTCACGCTCCAAGGTTTACGATGTCGAGATTTCCTTCTTCCCAGCAGAGGAGTACACGAAAGAGTATGCGATCACAACCAAGGATGTCCAAAACACTCTGCAGAACAAGTTCATTCCCAAGCTTGTTAAGCTCACCAGAGTCGAGCTCAAGAGGCGTAATGACGAGAAGTCATTGAAGAGCTTCTCTACGGCCCAGCCTGAGATTGGTGTTTCTGTGGGCGTCATCGAGGAAGGGCCGCGAGGACCCGACCGTGAGGTCGAACCCGCACAAGACGATGATGAGGACGATGAAGACGACGCCAAGCGGGCGAGGAGCGGTCAGAACCGGTCAAACCAGGTCTCGTACGAAGGTCCCGAGCAGGAAGAAATAGACATGGTCCGACAGCAGGATGCTGTAGAAGATGACGAAGACGAGGACGAAAGTGGCGAGAACCGTCGCCAAGATTCTGACGTCGACATGGAGGACGACTCCGACGAAGAAACAGACGATGAGACGAAAGACACCAAATTGCGCGAGGAGGATATTAAGGGCAAATATGGCGAAGTCACACAGTTCAAGTTCAACCCCAGCAAGGGCACATCATGCGTCGTCCAGCTGCAGTATGACATCTCCACCCCCAAGCTCCTCCTCCTGCCTCTGGTCGAAGAGGCCGCTCGCAGCGCAGTCATCCAGTCTATCCCTGGCCTCGGCAACTGCACGTATGTCGAGGCGAACCCACTCAAGGGCGAGCCCGCACATGTCATCACCGAGGGTGTCAACCTGCTTGCCATGCGCGATTACCAGGATATCATCAAGCCTCACTCCATCTACACCAACTCAATCCATCACATGCTTATGCTCTACGGTGTCGAGGCCGCGCGCGCATCCATCGTGCGAGAAATGTCCGACGTTTTCCAGGGCCACAGTATCTCAGTCGACAACCGTCATCTGAACCTGATTGGTGATGTGATGACCCAGTCTGGTGGTTTCCGCGCCTTCAACCGCAACGGTCTCGTCAAGGATAGCTCGTCGCCTCTTGCCAAGATGAGTTTCGAGACCACCGTCGGTTTCCTGAAGGATGCTGTGATCGAGAGGGACTTCGATAACCTCAAGAGCCCTAGCAGCAGGATCGTGGCAGGTCGGTCTGGCATGGTTGGCACGGGCGCCTTCGACGTGCTTGCTCCTGTCGCATGATTGGGCGCTTTCGGTGCATGCCATACTATATGATTATCGATTATTGTATATGCTTGCGTATTTCTTTGTGTATTATCCATATCTTTTGTATGTTTGATGTGTCCTACGATTCGGAGTTTGTCAGCGGAATCCAAGAAAAGTCCTGTTCCTTTTCCGATAGCATTTACACCGTGAGCAGGTGAATAGATCAATCAATTTACTATATCAAGCTCTTGAAACGATCAAGTCAATGATGCAGTTCCAATTCTAGCAGAAGGACCTAATGTACTACAGGTACGTAGTATACACCGAAAACCCCGTGGTATCATAATCCAGTATCCCATATATACAAAAATCCGCTTCAAAAGTCACAGAGTTGCTTCTGGCAGAAGAAAATGATGTATGCGCCCAAAAAATTTTACTGTGCATCCAACATCATGAGGTCTTCGTCTATATCGTCGTCAAATTCGTCTGCAGCGGCAGCAGCACCATTATGAGTGCCGTTCGTGGCCTGTCCATTGGCGGCCGCTTCTCTTCGCACTCTTTCTTCCTCCAGCATCTGCTTCTCGCGATGCCGTTCTATGTCAGCCAAGCTCCATGTAGAAATTCCTTCTTGATCCTTGGCCTTGAATGGCTGGGCCATTGTACGCAAGAAGTTCTTCGCAGTAGCCACAGCCATATCCGTACTCAGGTTTGTTTCACTTTCCAGCATGGCCTGACTGATCCATTTGGGTAGTTGGTTCCGTTTTTTCTGGAATCGACGGTCAGCTAGCACCATGATTCCGTAGTCGTCCTTGCCACGCAAGACACGACCCAGGCACTGCGCTGCGTGTCTCATAGCGTCGAACGATAGGAAATCATTCTCCCGGATTCGATAGTTCTCGCGCAGGAACTCAAGGCGGGCTTTCAAAATCCGAGATTCCGTGTACTGAAAGGGAACTCCAATACACAATACCGCACGACCGTAATGGTGGTCAAAGTCGATACCTTCGGAGACCTTCCCTCGAGCGACACAAAACAAGATGGCACCACGCCCATTGCAGCATGCTGTCCGGTAGGTCTCCAAGGCGAGCGATGATTCTTGCGAGTCAGGGGTCTCAACGAGGATCAATTTATAGTTCCATATTGAGTCTAGGATACCCATTCCTTGCCACATGCTGATGATTGACTCCATGTATAGATAAGATGGAAAGAAGACTACAATACCGTCAGGTGTGATGCGTGAGAATTCCAAGACAATATTTCCGTAGTTGCGCACGACGCCAGGATCATTTCGGATCTGGAAGGAAGACGAAATCTGGGCCTGGTCTGAGCCTCGTGTCACGATCATAGGCAGGAAAGACCGGCGTGCAAGCGTCATAGTGTACGACTCTTGCAATACAGTGGGGAAGCCGAGCATCTTCGGATACATCTCAAGCGGCGAGAGTGTTCCAGAAGTGATGATGACGGAACTGAACCGATCAAAGACGGGCTTGATCGCAATAGCGGCGTCCAAACAAGTGAAGTGCAGTACTGGATTGGGTACCGTGGCTGTTTCCGACTCGAATGGTTCGAGAATCAACAGGAACCCTTTATCATATGTCGAGACTAAAGTCGCGAACGTTGCAACTTCTTGTAACGGTTGATAATCCTCTATGTTAACAAGCTCTAGTGTTCGCACTAGCGAAGTAAGGCGTTCGGCGCAGAAACGTAGAGGCTTTCGCTCAATGAAAGTAAGGTCCTTGACGTGTGTCAAGAACGACGGTGGCGTTTCGGATATAGTATGGGTGACTTTCATTCGAGTCTTGAGATATTCTATGAAGCGCTTGAGGAAGGCAACAAAGTGCTCCGCCCGTCGTATATTGCCTGGCACAGCTTCCTTGAGCAAGTCATCTGGTAAGACCGGATTTGCGATGAACTGGTCTTCGTCTCTCGCTTGCTCCGCTTCCCTCAAACCTTCGACGAGCTTTGAGTATTCGTTTTGTAGTTTCTCTGCGTCCGAACTCTTCATCTCGGAGATTTTTCGCTCCAAGTTGTTTGCGCCCCGCGTAGCTTTCCGTAACGAGTCTTCGGTGATATCGATGCTCAGCGCTTCAATACATACGTTGTCGATGTTGTGTGCTTCATCGAATACTACTATGCAGTCCTTAGAAAGCTCTCGCGACACTCTCTCCGCGATTTTAGGGTCAAGGAGGTAATGATAGGAATAGATAATGACGTTGCAATAAGGCATCTGAACCTGTGTTAGCACACGCCGACAAGGACTTCGAACAGTATATTACCATGCGCCGTGCGGAAAAATAAGGACACTGCTTGTGTTCTTCTCCGTATTTCAAAAGCCCATCTAAAGTGAACACGCCGGGAGGAACGAGGTTATGCGGTTCGAGGAGGTCGAGGTTCTAAAATGTCAGGAGTTTTTACCACAGCTTTCAGAACATCGGCGCATACCTCATGATAGACGCATAGCTCGACATCTTCGCCTCTCTCCTTCTTTTCTTTAACGAAACCGGCCGTCAAACTTCTGCACCTCGCGTCCACGACAGTGCCACTTTTCTCTCGTTTCACCGACGGATGCAGGCACAGATTTTTTCGACTGGTGAGACCTAAAGCTCGAAAATCTTCCGTATATCCCAGCTGCTGGGTGCGAAACTTCATCAGCTCCTTCAACTCAGCCAGCGCCTTTTCAATCTCGGACATTGTTCGAGAGCAGTAGATGAGTTTCCTGTGCTCCGGATAATGCTGCTGATATGCTATGATCAACGACAGTAGCGAAACGGTCTTCCCTGTGCCTGACGGCATCTCCAGAACGCAGTGACCCCCAGCGTCGAGGGTCTTTTTAAGATCACACATGTAGGCATACTGTTCGGGGTATATACGAGGATAAGGGAACAGGACGGGAAGATCACTAACGGACGACAAGGTCTGTTAGAGGAGCTTATTGCTTCTAGTGGCTGATTTAACATTTGAAGACTTACTCAATCATGAATTTCATTGTGAGAGTAGAGCGCCACCGTGGTGCTGCTGCCTGACAGAAATGAGCCCTCTTTCTCTCTCATGAAAGACAGAAGCATAGTCGGACCGAAATTTGACCTTTCCTGTTTAGGCGATCGATGACACCAGCACACGTGATCTCCTTATCGGGAGCCCGATCATCACGCCGCTTTTTGATATGGCAGCCACAGAGATCAGTGACGTTTTGCCAGGGCGACTTGGAGATGAGGCGAAGAATTTGTTCTGAACTTGGATGATTCTCTCAATTGCGGCTCATCGAATATCTAGCCACGAATACCCTCGTCCATTCACTCATTTAACCCTTATTTTACTCTCGTTTTTCATTCCTTGCGCTGTTCTATTACTCCGCTACCCCACATTACTATGAGCAAAAAGTTCAAGTCGCAGGCCTCAAGCAGCCGTGCTGCTGCCAGTACATATGGATCTTTTGGTGGATTTTCCAGTTCCTCCTCTAGTGCAGGAAGAGCCCCTTCCTCTCTCACATATGTGACCGCGCCACCAGATCTGTCGCGGATTGCGGATGCGAAACTGGCCATTTCTTTCAAGAACTTCCTGAAGAAGGATGAAGTTACAAGAATAAAAGCATTAGACGAGATTAAAGATTATGTATTGACAGTCGAAAGTCGTGGTGCCACTCTTGACGACGGGTTCTTGGATGCCTGGGTATGTCTACAAGCTTATCTTGCAGACAGAAATTTGATGTTGATTGTATTTCGCAGATCAAAATTTATCCACGGGCCTCAATTGACCTTTCCCGTAGGGTAAGGCAGACGGCTCATTCAGCTCAAGGATCCATTGCCTGTGTTGTTGGCAAAAGGATAGCCCCATATTTGCCTAAGGTAATTGGGGCATGGCTTGCAGGATTCTACGATAATGACCGACCCGTGCATCGAGCTGCCCTAGAGTCGTTCATGCAGGTGTTCACAACCCAAGAGAAAAGAAACGGAGTATGGAAAGTCTACCAGAGCTCAATTCTCGACTTTGTAGATGATGTTATTCTGCAACAAACTCCTCAAACACTGAGTGATGAAAGGACAGTGAAGCCTGATGATGCGGAGACAAAGTATGCTCGTGTAGTAGGAACAGCTCTCCTGCTATTGAATCGAGTCATAGGTGTGTGTATCATTTCCCAGAATCGTTCACCCGTTCTGACTTTATTCAGCAATTTCGACTCACGAAGATCTCCAAAACGATCTGGCTACAGTGGAGAATCTACTGAATAGCAAATCGATGTGGTCCCTCTGCTTTCATGACGATCCATTTGTTCGCAAGTCCGTCTATGTCTTGCTTAGGTCTGCTGTAGCAAAAGAACCCGAGGAGCTGGATTGGAGGATCATAAGTGCAGCTCTGATTGGCAAATCCTTGTCCATCAATCAAATGGGGTCGGCCTCCGACCTTTCTGAATCTTTGCTGGAAGTAACTTCAGCACGACCACAATTGTGGACGGAAGATTACTCCGGAAAAACTACGTCTTCCAAGAGACTCCTTCAATACATCCAGAAAGGCTCTCAGGGAGGCGTGGGCTCCTTTTGGTCAAATCTTCGCCAACTACTGCAGATTATACCTGCGGAAGTGCTGGCGAAAACTGATCCGCAGGCATCTACTGACGGCATGATTGGGCTATCGAGTGCAACTTTGTTGACGGAGGCTTTTCAACTTGGATTGAACTCAAGAGAAGAGCCGCGGCAAAATCAAGCTCTGGGTTGGAAGTCTTACATTGAGACAGGCATTTGGCTAGCGAGTTCACTACCCGAGAGCGATAGGGACGCTTTTTTGCGCACAAGGCTATCTCCTCTAGTTATTCAACACGTGAGAGCGGAGCAAAATGCGCCGCAATGGACGCTTCCGAATCAGAATGCTGTAGCTCTCTGCACAGAGTATTCTGTCGCGTTAGCTAAAGGCCATTATGATGGCGAACTCCAGCGGCTGTGGACCGATTTAGCCGATGGTCTGCTCGAATCCGTCAAACTATCCGCTCCAGAGCAGTCAAAGGAGTTCAGATCGTCACAAGATGCTGTATGTGCGCAAGCTGGACGACTATTTGCTCTGGAGGCTTCAGTGCTTGCAAGTGTAGCCGATACTGAGGCGAAAGCTTCCGTGTCCAGCATTCTTGGCAAGACAAACTTGCCACTTCTGGAAAATTGCTTGCAGGTATTGCGTTCTCGGAATGGCAAGCCATATGCTGCAGCAGCGGTCCTTGAAGAGATGATCCGCAACGCTGCAGATATTGCACAGCAATCTCGAGAATTGGCGGATTTTGTTCAGAATGATGCTCCCGAATTGTTGTCCTCGCCATCGGCTGACCGCCTCATATCAGTCATCTTGTCCTGTCGTTCTTGGGACGGATTCGGCTCCAGCTTTGAGAAAGTGGTGGAACGAGTGGCGCAATGCGAACCGGAGCAATCAAATACACATGCTGTCCAGAAGCTACTTTCAACTCTCGATTTCAAAGAAGTACATGACAAAACAGGTCTTGACTCATTGATCAAACGGGCTTTGGACCAAGCTTGCAGAGGTAGCCGATTCCACTGGCCAATCGTGATCGCGGCACTTCAGAACCAGACATCACACGGCGAACTAACAGACTCGATTTTCTTGTTTATCGTTGATTCATTGTCTGAGCCAACGAAGTGCCTTGAAGCGCTGCATGGGCTGTCTCAGATCGCAAAATCTGTCCCGGATGCGCTCAGCAAATTTCAGGCCGGAGCCCACGGATCAAAATTAGCTGGAAAGCTTCTGTTTCTGGCAGAAACTTCTGACGAGGAAGTGACCAGTCTTGCAGAGTCAGTGCTAACAAAATTCAAAGAGATTGGGGTCGGTGAGACGAGCGCCAAGTCGAGTTATGAGATCTTGCAGTACAATTTCGATCACGTCAATGAGGAATCACTGTCGTAAGTTCTGAGCTGAGGACAGAAGGATATCCGGTTAAACTAACATCTTTCAAGGATTGGATCTCTGCTAAGCATAGCAGAAGACTTACTCCGTGCCGCTGACCCGGAGGCCCGGGCCTCCATCGCTAAAGACATCTTGCCCTCTCGTCAGACGTGGGAGACAGCCTTGCGGCCGTTCCTGGAGCTTCCTCCTCGCCCATCGACAGCTATCACAAGTCCGCTTGGCGGGACTGTTCATCTAGTAAACCCTGAGGTATCAGATACACTTAAGGAGCAGTACCACACTATTCCTCGTGATTCCAGTGGTTGTTCGTCCGCGTTCCGACTCGCATATTTCACCATTCGTGTTCTTTCATCGTTCGATATAACGGGCAATTTGTCGGCAGAGGAGCAGGAGACACTGTTTCACTACATACCCTTAGCTGTACAGCTGATTGATGACGATTTGAGCATTGAAAATTGCAACGGTATTACTGGATTAACGCACTCAGACCAACGAGAAGAATACTTGGAGATTGTTTACGATGGCCGCAAACTGATAAACCAGTGGACGCGCTCAGACGGCCGTCCATCTGAAAGAGATGCGACAGTCGCCTCAACAATCCTGTCCTTCTGGCAGAACAAACTCGAAGCTCTAAGCAATACCTCTTCGACGGACTATCGAATTGGAGAAGCCTTTGTCAGGCTGATGAACAGCATCGACTCCGCAAACAAGAGTAAATCCACAGAGGATATCACCAAAATCTGCAGGGAAGTGCGAAGCGCGAATGCGATTCGATCGGCATCCTGGGTGGCAGTCTTACGGGAATCCATCTTAGGAAATCCGACGGGCAACAGGCTGTGCAATGAACTAGTCGCAGACTCTACGGGCTTGAAGCCTCAAGATGAGAAGAAGGAAGGTAAGTCGCTACTAGGATCATCCCTTGGTGACTCTACTGATGCGTTTCAAGGTCTCCGAAAACTGTCTTTGCTTAATCTTCTTCTTGCGGGGGAAATAAACGTGGCGTCATCCATTCCGACTCAGCGTCTAGTCTTCCTTGTCAAGCATCTCATACAATGTCTCCAGTCCGAGGACTTGCCGCACAATATTAAAGCCGAGATCATGCACACCTTGACCTTTGTCCTTCATTGCCTGAATGAAATATATGGATCTCATTGGGAAGACTGCATGGAAGCTCTCAGCACGGTTTGGCGCGAGACTAGCGGGGGCGATGAAGCTCTCCCCCTACTCCTTGCTTCCTTCAGACTTTTCGCAAGCCTGAGGTCAATCGTTGCTGAAGAAGACAGCAATGATGATGTCAAGGACGCCTGGTCAGAACGCAAGACGGTCCTTTTCAACGACTTAGCCTCAACCCTTACAAAATTCGGTGAGCTAGAATGCGTCCCCTCACATTGAGATGTGCAATGGACTGACTTTAAGTAGACTACACCGTTGCATTCCATCAGCCCCGGGATGTTACCGTTGAAGTGCTATGCCGCTTGATCAAGGTGATGCCTGTCGAGAGCCTAGAAGACGCGAGTAGGATGTTCCATCTCTTGACAGCTGACAGCCGAGTCATCCAACGTGCAGCTTTTACTCTCCTGCACCGTTATATCCCATCAGTGCAAGAGCAAGTCTCATTTGATGTGGCATTATCTAAATCAGCGGTCAGGCTTCCTGATGAGCTCATGTCTTTGCTACTTGAAGCCCCCACGATGGAATCGATCACTCTTGCCGATGGCGATGACAAGATCTGGACCAGTATAAGATCTTATTTGCTGAGCTGGAAAGTCGTATTTGACCACTTTGTCAACGCGGTATGTGTCAACACGCTTTCGAGTACACAATCAAGCTGTTGCTAATTTTCATACAATAGTCTCTCCCGGTTCAGGAGCAATATATTGCAAGCATCAAGGACAACGATAGCCTTGGTCCATTGTTAGAGTTTATGTTTGATTTCCTTCAGCAGTCCCACAATAAACTGGTGGATGCTTCGAAGTTTGACATTCGCTCTTTTGAACCTGATCAATCCGAGACTCAAGAGAAAGAGATCCAATGGCTTTTGGTCCACTTATACTTTTTGTGTTTGAAGCACCTCGGCAATATGAC